ATGGTATTATGTATATATTTTATAGGATTTCTCAAATATTTTGAAAGTATAGTATTTTGGTATGATATTACACACTGTAATTATCTGTTTTAATATAACATAACATATAATGTGTACACATTATGTTACAGATCATAAACATATATTATAACATGTATGTTTATAAACATAATATATTATAAACATAATAATATATAAACTATATGAGTATATGTCACATATATGCTTATACTATATATATATATCATATATAGTAGTAGACAAACTTTGAAAATATTTTGTATTTTATTCTGCGCATTTTCTGAATCCAACAAATTCATGATGCTCTCTATACTGTTACAAAGTAGAAATATACATCAGACACCAAAGCTGTTTATCATTCTCTCAAAGCTTCCACCTTTCATCACACTACCCCCTGTACATATTCTAAATTGATTAGTGCTTATAAATGGCTCAATAGTAAAACAAATAAAAACTTTGTAAAGGTCTTTAGACATCCGTATAAATTGATGATGAATACTATATGAGGCTTGCAATACAGTAATAAAATAATTGATTAAAGAGAGGTTAATGCACAAATAATACAGTGTTATCTTACTGTTTGCTAAGGTCTTTTATAATAACATACATTATCAGAGGCAAAAAGCTGCCACCCTACTCAATGAACACACACACATAAGCTTGTTAACATACTGACACTAACAGAAAAAACAGAGTGGTTCCAGGGCATGGGTGTGGCTGGAGCAGAGAAGTAGAAAAGAATGACTGCAGCCAATAAGGCTTGAAAGGTAAACTGATTATATTCTTAAGGACCTTGTAAGGCCAATGAATGCACTTGAATTTGATCCTATGGGCACTGGTGAATCAACAAAGAGTTGTTGTAAGTGAATGAAATGATTTGATTTGATTTTTTGGAAGGTAACCAAAGACAACAGTGATCATGAATGAGAAGAGACATTAGAGTAATCCTAGAACAGATAATGGGATTGACTTTAGGTAGTCATAATAATGATAAAACAAAAAAAAAAGGATAGATTACCAAGACATTTCAGAGGTAAAATTCCCCATGTTTTACAGGGCCAGTGGATTTATTATAAAACAATATAAGAAACAGTGAGAGACAGAAGATGATTTAGGCTTCTCTCCTGGGGATAATGACTAAAGTTATAGTTTCTGTTTATACGGCAATCACAATTTATAAAACATTTTTTATACTGTTTTCCATGTTTTCAACCACCTTGTGACAAATGCATATGAACAAGGGATGGCCCCCCCCAAAGTGGAATATATTCATGAAAAACTGTGTATTTGCTCGTGTTTAAACTTCAGTCACCTTCAAAGTACTATCCATTTGGTGCAATACACCTATTGAGACATTTTTCCAGTGCTTAAAACAGTTTTTGAACTCATTGATTTTGATGCTTTCTAGTGCTTCTGTTGTTGTTTCACCTCTTTCACATCAGCAAAATGTTTCCCTTTGAGGACTTTTTTCATTCTGGGAACAAAGAAAAAGTCACTTGGGCAAGATCAGGCGAATAGGGAATGTGGGGTATGGGGGTCATGCTGGTTTTGGTCAAAAACTGCTGAACACTCAGTGCAGTGTGGGCAGGTGCGCTCATAAATCACTCATCATGAAATGGGCAAAAGCTTGAAAGTGTCTTTAAAAAAATTCACTGTAGCTGAATGCATCCTCTCACAAAAATGCCAGTGGTACACTAATATAGATGGATTCCTAGAACACTCACCTGGTGGGGGAAGCCTGTGCTATAAGGGGCCCACCCTCCAGAAGATAATTCCATTGTTTTTTTGGGGTCCCCCTCAAATTAAAAAATAAGTAGGGTTTATGTAGTCATCTTAATAAGGCTCTGACCACTCTCATGTCTTTGTGAGATGCTGTACACAGTTATCTTTTTTCATTATGAAGTAGAGGTTGACCTGTGTTCTCCTCTTCAAAGATACTTGTAAATATGTACATTGTCTTTGATTCTCCCCATTGAACCAGATAAAAACACTTTTACAAAGAGTTTACTTAATGGGGTGTATGTAGTAGGCGACGTCTGTGTGTCTCCGAAAAAAAATTATATAGTACTCCTCAAACTTTGAGCATATGAATCATCTGAGGATTCTGGTAGAATGCAGATCCAGATTCAGTTCATCCTGGATGGGGACTGAAATTCTGCATTTCTAACAGCCCCCCCGATGTCAATGCCATCAGTCCATGAAATACATTTTGATTCAAAGTACCTTTGCTTATGCAGGTGTGTCATTCTGAGACAATTACAATATATTTTAAATCCCAATCATATTCTCACGGGTTTCAAGGTAGACATAGTTGCTCCCAATTGTATATGTATTTCCTTTTGGTAATATAACTGCATTCCACTTCTGTCTCCCCTGAAGGTTTCTAAACATGTCAGTGCTCTTTTTCCAAAAGAGATGTCATAAAGAATCATCTCATTGTTACTTATTCATTAATAGTTCTTTCACTGACAACTTGTATTCATGCCCCTTAATTTTGCAAGTATTTTATAATTAAAATTACTTTCAAAGCATTTTAAATACTTCTGGTAATAACATCTGCTTGGAAGCAGAATTCTTAACTCTCCTCACACAGGTATTTTTTTATTTATGATTCCATAGTATTTTTAACAGTCCAAAATTCCACAATATAATCCACGTGTGTTGAAAGACATCCGAAATCATTGACATGCCTTGGGGTCTTAAGATTAAGCAGCTGTCAGATCTGCCCTCATGTAATTGGGCTTGTTTAGGTCTGTCTCAGGAATTCTCTCTTTCTTTCTCCTCTTTCCCTCCACTTTCTCTTACAGGAGACCCATTTATGGTTCAGACACATTTCTCTAGGAACACTTTTTTTTATTTGCATGAAAGTCCCTTAAGTCAAACCTCAAGAGATAGATAATACCTCTTTGTGTAAATGGCAAAAACTTAACCTTGAAAGCAATGGTTGATATTTGTGAGATTCTAAGCAAGAGTTCAGCCATCCTGGAGAAAAAAATAGGCTTATATGCACTGCTTAGGCATTAAAAGTCCTATTGTCCCCTGTACATCAAACAGCAGCTATATGGCATATGTTGAAAAGTATAGGCTAATCAGTGCTGTCACCAATTTCTCAAAAGGTGCTGTTATCTTTGAGCTGGACGGCTAACAGAGAATATGTTGTCTAACCTTCTATTAAATTTAGAAGTCCTTAATATAGCACCCTTGGGATTTATTCAAGGTACCATGAGTCCTTTCTGAAGAGGTGAGACCCTAGCTGGACAGCTCTGGTTGTTAAACATCTGCAGCTGTGAGTGGTCATGTGCATTTTCTCCAGCTGCTCTGATGTTTCAGGCTATTCCTACTCACCTCCTACCCTGCTATGGTTTTGCCTTTTCAGGTCCACAGTGTTAAGTCTTATTTGCAGCTTTCAGTATTGCAAACTGAGCTCTCCTAAAATGAGTTCATTTTAGTTAAAGCTCGCTACTCATCAAAATTTAGCAAAACCTGAACTTTGACACATGATATCACCATCTCTGACTGCATCTGGTCACTGTACTTAGAACTTCTGTGACACTTCTGGCTTCAAACATTTTGTTGCTCTCTTAAAGAATGTTATGAAGTCAGTCTCACCATAGAATATGCACCTTTCCTCTCCCATTTTTTAGATGCACTAATAAAGAGTTAAACAATGTGCATCAGGCCACACATATTGCTGGAGATCCAACTGGGAATAAAGCCCAGGAAACTTGGCTCTCAGTTTGGTATACTTCTAACCATATGACTATCATTTCTGATGACTGTAAATTCACATAGTAGTCCTCCTGCGGAAATAGTAGGAGACAAGTACATCGGCACACTGAACAAGTCAGTGCATTGTTTTAAGTGAGTTTCTAAACTGATTAGTGTGTATTTTCCCAGATTCCTGTTGCCACTTGCTGTGAATGGGCTACATTTTTTAATGTTACCAGGACACATGGCATTTTTGAGGGTCCTTTTATTACAGATTTCCCTAATATTCACATTCTTGGCTCTTGCCTTCCTGGACATGGATTTTGCTCCAAAGGCATCTTTTTAAGAATGCTCTTCTGACTGTTGGCGGCTGCTGCCGCTGCTGATGTTAAATTCTTCATGGACTCTGTGCTGTGCCCTCCAACATGCTTCCTGAGAAGCTGAGCCACTCTGCTTAAAATTTCAACGATATGCTTCTAAACCTGAAACAGATGTTATCTTGGCTGCTGTCAATTGTCATGGGCTTGTCTACTTGCATTACACAGGAGGCAGGTAAAAGGCAGGTAATTTGCTACCTCATATTGTCATATTGTCAGAAAGAAAAAGGGAGAGGGAGGATGAACTGACAGAGAGAGAGAGAGAGAGAGAGAGAGAGAGAGAGAGAGAGAGAGAGAGAGAAAATATAGAAATTTGAAGGATAAAGCCACATGACAGAGACCAACCACATGAGCACCTATTATCCTAATACCATATGCTATAGTTTGGCTAATACTGATTTCCCTGGCAACCCTCTTGAGCCATATTTGTGGCCACCCAGATTAACTCTGTGAGCTGATCTTTTGATTTAATATTAGCCAGCTCTTTTCAGCTCCCATGTTATTTACTGTCTTAAAAAAAGTACTCCTTGTTACCTAGTCATCTATATTTTCAAGAACTCACATTCTTTTTTCTTTCCTTCTTTCTGTATGGGAACTAGGAACTAGAAACTGTTAAATGAGGGAAATCAACCACTCACAGAAAAGATGAAAGCCCAAAGAAAAAGGGGTTTGTCTTTTATGGTTTGTATTTTGTAAGCTGTGGGTGTGACTCAATTTCCTCACCACCCACATAAAAAAGGTTGCCACCCAATCACTGTTTTTTTTTTTCTATCCCAAACCCCTCCCCTTTGATTCTGGCTAGGAGAGACCCTAAGAAAGACTGCCTTTTCTGGACGTTGCTGACTGTGACATATAAAAGCTGTTAGCTGCTCCTGTAGCCAGCAGCATTCAAACCTTGCAGACTTTTGCTCTCTGAGAGTTTGTAATAAGACACAGTCCTCTTACAAGAGTTCATACTACAACCTAGCAAAAGCAAAGAATTTAAATTTTTGGAAGAACAAAACATTCATTTTGGCATTGTACAGAGGTAAGCTATTTAGCTCAACAAGTTTATTTTGCATGCATTGATTTTAAAGTAGCTCATATATTTTTTTACTTTTATAAATGAGATTGGGTGATTATGGCTCTTTTGTATGCTTCTATCACTTGGTGTCCATATGTGTCTGGGAGACATTATCAGCACATTGTCTGTTGTTACCTGTCCTGTGATTCATTTTTTCCTCTTCACTTTTAAGACGAATTTTTAATTCCTAAACATTTCCCTCTGAAAATACATATGCAGTCATGCATTCTGTGGTTCAGGCATTTGGGGCAAAGGGTTCACATTCATTTTAGGGTTAGTAGTTATGCTGTTGATTTTCCTTTAGCTCTAGGAAATTCCTCTTAGGAATCTGCCTCATAACATCAAGTTAAATGTAGGGACTACTATATGTTGTCTTCTAGGCTTGGGTTCAACATGTGTTTGAATTTTTTGGAGAGAATCAAGTGAAAGAATGCTCCCAAATAATAACTTGTAAACCCATACTCTCTGGCCCATTTTTTTTTCTGTTCATAGACCCTAATTCTACCTTTCTAATTTAAAGCAAAGTGAACTCAGTGGCCTCTCCTCCACCCTCAAAATGACAGCAATCTCTGCCATCAGCAGCGCTCTCCTGTTCTCCCTTCTCTGTGAAGTAAGTGCTGTTGTTTTACCCAATTCCACTGACTCATCCTCGCCAACCAATAATTTCACTGATATTGAAGCAGCTCTGAAAGCACAGCTAGATTCTGCGGACATCCCCAAATCCAGGCGGAAGCGCTACATTTCGCAAAATGACATGATCGCCATTCTTGACTATCATAACCAAGTTCGGGGCAAAGTGTTCCCACCAGCAGCAAACATGGAATATATGGTAAGAGGAATTTTTCTTTAAGTTCTGAGTGAGAAAGCTTTATTTAAATTGTACATTAAAAGAAGTCTAAAGAGTGTGTATATGTTATGAGATGGGGGCCCTTTTTATGAGTTTGAACTCAGAAACAGTTTTTGTGTGCCTTGTAAACTTAAGCACTGTTCCATTATAGAATTAAAGGAGTGGGGGTCTAGTTATCTTTTGTGAGTTCCATGACCATTGATTAATCATGTCTTATATAAGAAACATAGGTAAAAAGTGAGGTATGTTTGAGTGATCACAATTAGAATTCACTTTTTAAAATAAAATCACATGGAAAATGTTGGGGGGCTTTGTTTAGCTAGTAGTCATTTATCAGTTAAAACATTTCTGGAAAATAATTTTTTGAATTGTAGGTTTTGTGTGCACAATTTATTCTTTGGGTAGGTGTCTTTTCTTTTTCTTGGACAAAGCTCTTTCTGTGCTAATCTACTTGTGTTCTCAGGGAACACGCTGACTTTTTCCTCCTTGTGATTTAATGCTTTGTCACTGAGATAGCAGCGAAGCCAGTGTACACTTGTGTGCTGTTCCAACTTGCTGTGAACACATTCTTTGCTCTCAAAAATAGGCTCTGTGTGTTTAAATTATTTTACTTAGAATTTTTTTAAAAAGTGGGTATTGAAAGGATAGATGTTTTTAAAATTCTTTATTTTTGGTTTTGAATTTATGTAAGATTTTGATTTAAATTCCAGCACCTTCCAAGAGCACAGCTTGGAGCCTATTCCAGGCAACAAAGACTACCAACATGGTACTTCTGAGGTGGGGTGGGGGTGGCAGTTCCACCAACAACTTTTCATAAGTGCTAACCTGAAATTTGGGGATTTCTGTCAGATTCTAAATTCATCTATTTTAATTAAATAAGCTTTTTAAGTTTTACTAATTGCAATTGTTAGTGTCACAGGAAAAATAAAGACTAGCCAAATGTAAGACAGTCATAATTCATAGAAGTCAACAGCAATTTAGACTCTATAAAAATGCTTGTTCCTAGAATTTTTAAAGAAAGGGGAAAAGAAGATGTAACCAGTCCTAATATATAAGGGGTTATATGGTTTCATGATTAAGAGTATGAGCTCTAGCCCTGGTTGGGTGGTTTCAGTTGGTTGGAACATAGTCCCATACACCAAAAGGTTGCAGGTTTGATTTCTGGTCAGGGCACACACCTAGGGTGCAGGTTTGATCACCAGTTGGGGTTCATATGGGAGGCAACTAATTGATGTTTCTGTCTCACATCTCTCTCTTTCTCTCTCACTCTCTCAAATCAATAAAAATACATATTCTCAGTTGAAGATTAAAAAAATAGAAAATGAGCTTGGGAATCTAAATGCATGGGCTGAAACCCCAGTCCTGGAATACAAGCTGAATGAATTCACCACCTCATTCATTTTCATCATCTCTAAAATGAAAATAAAGGATGTATCTTCCAAACAGAGCTGTTTTGAAGAATGTATGAGTTGAATAGCAGAGCAATTAGAACAGAGCCTATTCCAAAAAAGATGCTCAATAAATGTTAGCTTTTATTGGTTTCCATGAACATTTTGTGAAAGGCTCTCAGTGAAAACTATTCAAGATCTAAGAGCAGAGACAATTATGCATATTGAAGAGGTATTTCTAGACTGTGATGTATACACATAGAAAGAAGAGAAATAGTTTTCAAAATTGCCATAAATTATAAAGTAATACACATAAGATTCTATGTGAGCTGAGAAAGGTATAATACCCAGACTGCGTGTTTAGAAAGTACTTCCTAGAGGGTATCACATCACTATGAGACTAAAGTAAGACTCAAGACAACTGAACTGGCTTTGGAGACAAGCTCTACTGGATTGAAATCCTAACTCTGCTGCTTACTTTGTGGATAAGTTACTTAAGGTTCTGAGACTCAATTTCCTTATCTGTAAAATGAGAGTGATAATTTACATAACAATCTGTCAGGATGTAATGCAATTCACTATTTTAATGATATGGAGGGAAGAAGTATCACCAGGAGTAAAGGCATAGGTGGGGAACAACACAGTAGAAATGAGATTGAATAAAGCCACATTTTTCTAGTTATATCTTTTCCCACTGATCAAGAGTTAACTCATTCCACATGTATTTATTTAATTGCTTCTATGTGCCAGGGACTTGACTAATTGTTTCCACAGATGACCTCATTTGATAGCTCACATTTTCCCTATGAGGTTAAGATTATGATCTACATTTTACAGATAAAATCACTGAGACCCAGAAAAGTAAGTATATGGATAGGCCAAAGTGGCATGAATCATGATTGATATGGACAGGATCACTGGAATTAGAATTTAGGTCTGTGTAATTTCAAAGCCCATGCTTATATTGGGAGCACTCTTCACTTAGCTCTAGCAAATGTTCCATTGGAGGAACTCCCCAGAAATGTTAGAATATCTTTGTTTCCTTCTTTGACTTGATAACTGAAATCCTTAGCATTCATATTCTATTTGCTACTCCTTTCTTATTTGTTTTTCAAATACAAGAGCTATTATATAGAATTCATTTTGTAAGAACCAGATATAGTATTGGTTACATAGTAGAAGCTCTATAAATCCTCAACTCAGTAAAATTAATGAGAAATGGCAGTTAGAACAGTTAAGTCCTATAAAGTAACACATGACTATTTCAAATTATCATGTATAGCCTGCACATGGTTACTTTGCATAAGTATTTATTAATTTAATATTTATCAAGCACCTTTCATACATTGGGCACTATTCTAAACACTAGGGAAACATTTATTAATAAAATAGATATTCCTTAGCCATTTAAGATGGAGAATTAGACAGCAAACAAGATAATTAAAGTACATAGTACATTAGAAGATAATAATTATGAAGAAAAATAAAGCAGATTGTGGTGAGGTTGTGAAATTTAATAAGGTGGTCAGGGAAGAGCTCAGTGAGAGTGTCCTAGAGAGAAAGGAGAAAGTGAGCCACCATGATCAGTGAGTGGAGCCCATTCCCAGCAGAGGGAAGAACAAGTAAGGGCAAAGGCCCGGAGGCAGGAGAAAATTAACTAGTTCAGTTAGAAAAATATGCTTCATGTTTTGAAATTGTAGAACTCCCTGAGTAAACTGACCAATTGAAATAATTCATTGGTTTCCTCATGAGAAACTCTGAAGAAAGTACATATAAAAAGTAGCTTATAGGCCACAGCACAGATGTTAAGTGACTTTATCTCTAGGACAGATGAAAAATACAAATCTTAATAGAACACAGTTACCTTTATTTTAATGTATTCAGCATTGATTTGAATTGTGAGCAATTTGAAAATGAGTTCAGTTTGTAATTCTACTATGTATCTCAAAAACTTGATGGTCACCAGCCATGTGTACAAATTATTCCCATTCATGAGTGATATCATTACAGGCGCTCATGGAAGATGGTCTTCAGCTCAGGACTTTTCCTGATTGTACCAGCCAGATTTGTAATCTCTTTCATCCCCAACTTTCCTCTCTGAACCTTTTCCTGTGCCATTTCCTCTCTTTTTAATGTCACCTCATTAAAGTCTGCCATTATTTGTAATCCTTCCCTTCAAGTTTTAAGCAGAATGTATGTCCTTTGTTGATATTTCTTATGATCACAACCACATATGATTTTTCCTTCTTTTAAAGCACCACAACCTATATATTTATTATAATGCTGTCATTAAAATCAAACTAGATTTCCAGTTATTTATATATTTCTTGCAAACTTCTTAATTTTAAGTTTCAGAGTAATAAGTTATCTTTGTATTTCTATTTTTAAGGAGCATTAATTTTTTTAATGATTTTATTTATTTATTTTAAGAGAGGGAAGGGAGGGAGAAAGAGAGAGAGAGAGAAACATCAATGTGCGGTTGCTGCGGGTCATGGCCTGCAACCCAGGCATGTACCCTGAATGGGAATCGAACCTGCGACACTTTGGTTCGCAGCCCGCGCTCAATCCACTGATGCCAGCCAGGGCTAAGTAGCATTAATTTTGATATGACAGTCAGCCCTCCATATCCATGAGTTCTCCAACTGTGGATTCAACCAACAGCAGATCAAATACAGTCTGAAAAGATCTGTCACATTCTTGCTGACATGTACCATATAGTCAGACCTACAATGTATAGACTTGTTTCTTGTAATTATTCCTTAAACAATACAGTATAACAACTATTTCCATAGCACTTACATTGTATTAGGTATAATAAGCAATCTAAAGATGATTTAAAATATAAGGAGGATGTGTGTGGGTTATATGCAAATACTAGTCCATTTTATATACAGGACTTGAGCTCCCACAGATTTGGGGTCTTGGAACCAATCACACACAGATAGCAAGGGAGAACTATATTATTTATATTTTAATATAAATTTTCTCATAATTTATAGTAATATTCTATTCCATGCACTCAAAATAAAAGTTTTTTTTATAAATTCAATAAAGCAATAATATATATAGCTTAAAATATGCAAGTCAAACTTCTTTACTCTGGCTTCTGTGCTCCAATTACTTTACTGACAAATTTCCAGAGCTTCTTGGACACCAGCTGCTTTTCATTCTTCCTAAGGGCAGCTTAAATCATGACTCTAAACCACAAACCACACTAGTTTCTTAGAATAAGAATTATCCCCAAAAGAATGAAATTGCAAGACTCACACATGGAGTAAAATTTGTAGGATACTTTTTGAATAAGTTCAACTTAAAAAATTTGAAGTCCCTCCATGAGAATATGAGATCCAAAGATAACAGAAATCTTTGTGTTTAAACTGTAAATAAAACAGTAAAAAAGAAAACGAATGGTGAAAAAATTCACTAAGTATATAACTCAGTATAATACACTACTGCATAAGATTGATGTAATAAAAGAGGTTCAGATGAATACTATGGAGAAGTCAAAGAAAGAAGTGATAATCTCTAGTTGGCAAAATCATAAAAGGTTCCTTGAAGGAGGGGTGTTTGAGATCGATGCTCAGGAAAGGGTAG